AACACTCCACCCATTCCCGTTCACTCCAAAACTGACTCCATCAATCCCTCGAACGTCATTTGTCAACAATTCCCAGTCCACTCAGCCACACTTTCCCAATCCCCGAGACATTGCCGGTATCATCTCCAACCTTGAAATGTGTGCCATCTCCATGTCGCTTGGCATGACCATGAATAATTTGCGGTTGTGCTGTACGTAAATCATAAGCCATGCCCAACCAAGCGAAGAAATCGATGACATTGGTAGCTAATCCACCTTGATTTCCGAATTCTGATGACCTGTAGTCCCAGGGGAAGCAGTGATGATAATTGTGCCATCCATCCCCCATGGATATCGTCCACACAAATTTCGACTGAACTCCTCTAATTCTCCTGAAAACCCAAGTTCATCAGGGCCATAATGAAACGAGAATTTTTATCCTTGAGTTCCTGAGCTATTCGAGGAGCAAATATCGACAATAAACTGGTTTCAAGTTATGGTAGGTCATATGGAGGTCATGTAGGGTAACATTAAGGTTATGTGGAGGTCTCATCAAGTTCATCAAGGGTCAGATGAAGATCATATAGGGTGACATTTGTTCATAAAGGGTTAGAGGGAGGTCATAGGGTGCCGTTAAGGTCACAATAAGGTCTGATGAAAGTCATATAGGGTGATATGAAGGTCATAGAGGTCATGTAGGGTGACATTAAGGTTATGTGGAGGCTTTACGGAGCTCATAAAGGGTCAGATGAAGGTCATATAGGGATGATGTGAGGATAGGTCACATGGAGCTCAGATAAGATGACATGAAGGGCAAGAGGAGGTCTCGTGACACTCATAGGGTCAGCTAAAGGTTCTATAGGGGAACATACGGAGGTCATATATAGGGGAAAGTCATATAGGGTGACATTAATGTTATATAGACGACTTATAGAGTTCATAAAGATTCGGATGAAGATCATATAGGGTGATATGAAGGTCATAGAGGTCATATAGGGTGACATCAAGGTTATGTAGCGGTTTTACGGAGCTCATAGAGGGTCAGATGAAGGTCATATAGGGATGATGTAAGGGTAGGTCATAGGGGGGTCATATGGAGGTCAGATAAGATGACATGAAGGGCAAGAGGAGGTCTTATGGAACTCATAGGATCAGGTAAGGGTTCTACAGGGGACCATATGGAGGTCACATATAGGGGAAAGTCATCGGCTTAGATGGAGGTCATGTAGGGTGATATTAAGGTTACATAGACGACTTACAGAATTCATAAAGGTTCAGATGAAGGTCGTATAGGGGTGATGCACAGGGAGGTCATACAGGGCGCCATGTGGAGGTCACATAGGGTAACGTGAAGGTCAAATTGAGGTCTTATGACACTCATATGGAGTCAAGTGAAGATCGTAGGGTCAGATGAAGGTCATATAGGATTCATTGGAAGTCATATGGGTCCAACGACTTACGTGTCATACGGTTTATTTCCGAACGTATGAGCGAATGAGTTGACAGACCACGTGATATTCAATACCATTATGTATCTGAAGCACAAGGCGACGAGGAATGACGTCCACAGATCCTCCCCCCAGAAGTAATAGGGCACCAAGATCGGCATCATGAGGCCCAGCACTAGGTACAACGGGATAAAGTGCCTTGAGGAATAATAAAAAGGGAAAATGGGCGTTTATTCAGTCCTCATCACAATATTAAAAAAAATATCAAATATTTTGGTGAGATGGGATGATTATTCGGGAGGGGCGAGCTCACCTGTGCTGAAACATGAGGAGCTTGTCCGCCCTGAGATCGGAAATGTCGATCTGCCTGCCCTTCTCGATGACCAGCGGGTGTTTACTTGTTACCAGCCAGCCCACGTGGGCGAACACGAAGCCACGATTTGCGTTGTGAGGGTCTGCGTCTGTATCGCTGTATTTGTGGTGAATTCGATGGTCCCGCGCCCATGTGTATGCTGAGTTCTTTCGGGGGAAGAGTTTGTTTTATATCATTTTTTTTTTCATTGATGAACATTAATTTTCGTAATTCGTCATTCGTGAAAATCATCAAAATTTTCTATATAATTGAGAATATTATATTGTCATAAATATTTATTAATATTAAGTAATATTGATAAATATTATTTGATAATATTTTTAATGGACTCATGTGAGCCCCAAAAAGCAAGGAATGGAATTTTTGAGAAAACAGGAAGATTTATGAATCGTACTTGTCCTGCAATCGTCTGCCAAATGAGCAAGATAATCTTGAGTGCAGGAGTTGCTTTAAAACTTCTGTGGCTCCACCCTCTGTGCGCCCCCACGATGACCCCCCATCCTGTCACAAATCCCAGCAAGAGACCTAGTAAAAAAAATGAATTTACGAAAATGAAAAAAAAATCTAAATTGATGGAAATTTTTCCAATAGTTCTCTTTCAATCCAATTATTTAATTCAATTATTGATATTGAGGGTTGAAGTACTTACCCCAAGCAGTTGTCAGCCACATTGCATGACAAATAGATACATAGAGTCCATAAATCCCCAGCAAGTGCATTGTGACATGAAATATCAGTTGTGGAATTAAAATTCTGGGTCTGAAGTCATCGACTTTTCTCAGCTCATCGTCACGTGTCATCTCCTCGATCTCAAACTCTTTCTCCTCTAATTCTTCAACCCTCTGGCCTCCCATAGTTATTTATTTATTTGTCTGTTTATTTATTGAATTATGAACGGAACAAGCAAATGCAGAGATTTATTTATTGTTACAGAAAATTACGGAAAATTTCAAGTCAAGATAATTAAGCAGTGTTAGCTTCCTCGGCTTCACTGGCTCAACTAATTCCGACCGTTTCAGTCTCTCCAATTTATATCAATCATTAATCACATGCAGGAATGATTTATCAACTTGAGGAAATTATTTTGAAACTAATTCGTTTAAAATTCACCGGTGAAATGATATTTTTCCTTGCACTCATGAGTTTCCTCAATGGAACATGAATAAATGATTATCACTTGAGAGACCAGTAAACAATATAAATGAATGAACACGCGATGAACTCTCCGAATTATTATACATTATCTAAACTAATTATTCCACTAAATTCTATTTTTTTAACAGAATTTAGTTCTCTCAAAAATTTCTGTCTCCATTTTTCATCTAAATTCCCGAGTTTTCGATTTACTCCCAAAGGAAAATGTTCAAAAGTTAATTTTTCAAATTTTTCCTGGAACCAAACCTACAAAATCATCTCAACCTACAGAATTATCCCCTTATAATTATCAACTCACTCGTTAACAAATAATTCCAGTCCAAAAAGTCTGAAGACCTCGTCAATAACTAATTAACTTTCCTACAAAGCCCTCAGACCCCTCCATCAGAAAAAATTTCAAAACATCTCAAACTCCCATTCCCCCCGAAAAAATGAAAAAAAACATCTTTGACCCCCAATTTCAAAAGCGTCACGTGCAGCATCTGCAGGGTCGCTGGCCACCTGTCTCCAACAGCCCAGCGCAGAAAAGGTACCCCAGCACAGCAGGTGCACCTCGTACCTTCCATTCCTCTTTCTTTCCCTTTCGTATCATCCCCCCCCTCCACCTTCCCCTCCCCCTCCCCACCGCCCCTCTCGACCCCTGCTCTTTACACAAGACCCAGCCGGTATCAATTAGCCCTTTTGTTTCACGCCTTATTTCTTTGAGGTCATTCTTGTTTACTACGTAGTACTACGCACGCCATGACATGCAGGTATCGTAATACCCTCCCCTCTCCACCCCCCCCCCCCCCCCCC